TCTTACGATTGCGTGAATTTGTGAATCTTTAAAAAGGATTCTTTTAATTAGCTGATAAGGAGTTTGTAATGTACCAAGTCAATGGTCCAATGCTGGAAATCACGAATACTGTGTCAGGGGACACAGGACTAGGTGTGTTCCACAAGGTCTCAGTCGCTTTGACCAAGTTGCGAAAATGAGGTCGAACCAACATGATAAAGAGTTCAACCATAATCAGATGAGAAGAACTTACGAAGCAATTGAATTTTGCTTAGCTTTGCCTCCTAAAAGGTTGTATCATCCAAAGTGGACTACTGCTTCGCCATCAGTCGCATCATTGCCCCAAACGGGATTAGAAACAGAAAGTATATTAAATTCAGAGCAAACCGAGCTGCAATTAAATCATATCTAGAGTGAAATTGTCGATTCAGCAACCATGTATCGACGGCGATACTTATTTCCTATGTAAGTTTACAAAGTTATCGGTAATCCTTGACTAGGTCACTTGTGGTGAGTGAAGTGCTATTGAATTTCACTTAGCCATCCAAAACGTCATCTTATCCAAGATGGAATGCATTTTTATCATTATTATTATTTTTCTCAGCCTCATCAGTACACACAAGACTCGACAAGAGGCAGACGTAGTATTTAAGACAAATCATACCTCAGCCTAATCACATTTATGAGATTGCCAATTAGATAAATATGCGTTTGCTATTGCAATCGACTACTTATTTTCTGCATAGGAGGTTTCAAGACTACCACAAATTCGTGAATAAAAAACAAGTCACCCTAAGCCGCTTAAAGTCAACTAAGGACTCATAGTTGAATGCCCTCGAAGTATAACGGCCCTTTGGGCTGGCAAAGTTGATGCTTCGCCAGGAGACTACTAAAAGGAGTCTATTTGGAGGCCTGATAAAGTAGCAGAGAAACAGGGACGACAAAAAAATCCGAGAAATTTGGGCCAGATTGAGCTTGAAGAGAAAGGGTCCTCACTGAATGACGATAGGATACTGTGACGAGATGAAGTTGGTTATTAGGACGTGCTGGTGATAGCAACTCCGCGAAGCTAGAGCCAGAGTAACCTAAAGATTCGGTCGAGTCTATAGGACTACATGTAGGACGGAGCGAGAGGGTTTCGCACGACCCACCCGACCGGAAGCGACCCTCCGGAGAGAATGACGAATCGGCAGTGGAGGAAGCAGAAGCCCGCATAGTGGGCATCGCCAAAAGAGCGACTGTATCGCGGCTTCCAAGAGCCCTTTCAAATGGTGTACAACTTAGCAACAGTAGCCTGCAAAAACGTGACGGTTTATGGTAGCAATATGTGGATATTTGAGTGAACCAAACAAGGAGACAAAAGGAAGCTGGAGATTCCAAATAATGAACTAGACCTTCTGCAAGAGATATCCACTGAGGACAAGGCATCGGCTTAACTTGGAGGCGAAGCATTGAAAGGCATGCATCAGTCGGAATAGTAAAAAATACGGCGAACGTAGGTAAGTCCCAAGACGGAAAAGGCGAAAGCGAGGGCAGTAAAAAGGCCTAAAAGCTAGTCATGGCCGTCTGATAAAGGAACATTCTCGACTTTAGAATAAACACAACTTCGATTCGCCCTACAAAGTCGTGTTTCTGACCGGGAAAAGATGCCTGCCAGATAGGAAAAACCGGGTGGTACAAGGTTTGCTTGGCGGAGCGGAGGAGAGCAATTTGGACTGGCCGAGATGAGGGAAGTAAAATAGGGGGAAGGACCGGACGCCGACGGTCAGAGACAAGAGGCTAAGTGGGGCATGGCGAGTAAAACCGGCGTTAACACTGAGCCGAAAGAAGACCAAACGAGTCGGTCTGGTGACCAAGCCAGGCTTTGGATCTGGTCAAGAGATTGCCAGTAGAAAATAGAGGGTTCGAGGGGGAGACATTGGACCGTTGATGTTGGCAGTGTTTGGCGCAATGTGCATTAAGAAGTGCCATCGGACGAGTGGAGACGAGGTAAGAGCGTGCAAATCTCGGCTATTTTGGGCGCAACAAGAAGATTATATTTGGGTACTAGGCCCGCCGGCAATTAAATTAGCAAAAGCACAACATGCAGAGCAGACGGACAAGCAATACCATGTCAGGAAGCCTCGGGTACCGGCTCGGCATTGACATCGAGATGTTTTATGCACATATGCACACACGAACACACATACACATACACATATGCACACAAATATGGGAAGGTTGCGGTGAAAGTGTACGAATAAATCAAAGGCGCTAAAAAGAGAGATAAAGGAGCCATGAACAGGAAAACACGTTTACTTTTAGAAATGAGTAGGTTTACACTTAATTGATAGCTCTTGAATAAGAACTGCATTCACTCTGGGTAGCAAAAAAGTGATGAGAAACTGATAGTAGAGTTATCTAAAAGCTATGCTGTTGAATTGCACTTAAAGTCTTCTCCAAAACGATTTTTTCATGCAAGCTGGACTGCATTTTCGACTTCACCCAGGTCGCACCGGTACCTCGAACGGAATTCGAGCCCGAGTCGCATTGTAAAGTCGTGACATGTGACCCCTTCACCAGACAACCACGATCAGATGTGGCTTTCAAGGCAAGCCAGACTTACCCAAATCGTATTTTTAACCTAAGATTTTGAGTATGAGTAATCCTTGTCTAAGAACTTTAGAGTATGCAAGCGTGTTTGTGCGCACAAAAATGCAAAAAATGGAGTTGTGGTGCAAGTGTTAAAGAAATGGGCGGAAGAGACAGGAAGACTGAAGCACAATGAATATTTGTAATGAGTATGCAAGTATTTACGAATGTGTATGTCACTACAACACACCGGGCCGTGTACATCGGGGCAGCATTTATATACTCGGCTTTACAGCAAAGAGTGCCAGAGGGTTACAGAACAGATGTGATCGTCATGGCAAGCCACTTTTCAAGTGGGATTGTCGTTAAGACAAACATGTATTTGCCATTATTTTTTGTGCAGGCAGGCTTCCAAACTACCTATGATCCCTGAATATGCAACAGGAAAGAGACAACGGCTGGACGCCAGAGGAAAAAGTCGGTTTTTAGAGGAGGCTGTTGAAAATCCCGAGTCTCTCTGTGACAGGCGAAGGCTCAAATCGAAGGAGAGCGAAGGTGGATCAAGGAGTGCAAGACATATGAACTTAACACGTCAACTGACACAATGCCTCAGCCTCTGATAGGAAAATGCAAGAATCTCGTTCTCCCATAGTTGCACATAAAGCATTCTTGCCTCCGCCACAAAGGCTGCATTGAGGTGGCGCAAACTGTAAAGCTGGCCAACCTTGGGCTACGAATGTATCGCAAAAGCCTCCTACAAGCCTAGCCCCCTTAAAGCCGCAAAGTCGTTTGAATAAGCCACCTTTGTTCGTCGTAGGAGGTAAAAAGAGACTCAAATATACTCTTTTCAGATCTATACTTTAGCCTGGAGGCGATATAACCGGGAATAAGCGAAATAAACTCAGCAGGACTGCTCTTGATTTCCGTAGACATAAATAAAGAAAGACAAATATGCAAGTATGCTGGCACCAAGATAACAACTTTGAGAGAAGAGCTCTTCGCTAAAATCGCAGTCACATATCGTATCCTTTAAGTATTGAGCATCTTTCTGTCCAAAAATAGCAGTGACAACGAAAAGGGAACTCTCTTTCGCATTCGAAGATATGAAGACCAAGATGGTGTGGCCTTTTGTGTGGTCGCAGCCTCCTTTCGTTGTATAGAAGTTGTTTGACCTCGTTTTAACAATATGGTCATAATGGTAGGAAGACTGATAGAAACGCACCTTGTCCTAAGTCCATTGTATGCATAATTATTTCC